ATTATGAAGTCAAACAACAACAAGTGCTGGCGAGGATGTGGGGAAAAGGGTACACTTGTACATTGCTGGTGGGACTGCAAATTGGTGCAGCCAATTTGGAAAGCAGTATGGAGATTTCTTGGAAAGCTGGGAATGGAGCCACCATTTGACCCAGCTATTCCCCTTCTCGGTCTATTCCCTAAAGACCTAAAAAGAGCATGCTACAGGGACACTGCTACATCGATGTTCATAGCAGCACAATTCACAATAGCTAGACTGTGGAACCAACCTAGATGCCCTTCAATGGATGAATGGATAAAAAAAATGTGGCATTTATACACAATGGAGTATTACTCTGCATTAAAAAATGACAAAATCATAGAATTTACAGGGAAATGGATGGCATTAGAGCAGATTATGCTAAGTGAAGCTAGCCAATCCCTAAAAAACAAATGTCAAATGTCTTCTTTGATATAAGGAGAGTAGCTAAGAACAGAGTAGGGTCGAAGAGCATGAGAAGAAGATTAACATTAAACAGGGATGAGAGGTGGGAGGGAAAGGGAGAGAGAAGGGAAATTGCATGGATATGGAAGGAGACCCTCAGAGTTATACAAAAGTACATACAAGAGGAAGTGAGGGGAAAGGGAAAAATAATACAAGGGGGACAAATGAATGTCAGTAGAGGGGGCAGAGAGAGAAGAGGGGAGGGAAGGGGAGGGGAGGGGGGGATAGTAGAGGATAGGAAAGGCAGCAGAACACAACAGACACTAGTATGGCAATATGTAAATCAATGGATGTGTAACTGATGTGATTCTGCAATCTGTATATGGGGTAAAAATGGGAGCTCATAACCCACTTGAATCAAATTGTGAAATATGATATATCAAGAACTATGTAATGTTTTGAACAGCCAACAATAAAAAAAAAAAAAAAAAAAAACTAAAAAAAAAAAAAAAAAATTAGGAAGTGGTAGGAGACACTTCAGTAGGGGATCAGGCAAGAAATAGATAAGTGGAAGAATCGAAAGCCTAAGACTTGTATTATTCTTTTTTGCTGGGTGGGGGAAGATACTGGGGATTGAACTCAGGGACACTCAACCACTGAGGCACATCCCCAACCCTATTTTGTATTGTATTTAGAGATAGGGTCTCACTGAGATGCTGAGGGCCTCGATGTTGCTGAGGCTGGCTATGAACCCATAGTTCTCCTGTCTCAAGTGTCCTGAGCTGCTGGGATTACAGATGTGCACCACTGTGCCTGGCTGTATTATTCTTATTATGTTATTTTCTCATTATTTCCTGATTTTTCTTTTTACTATCTAGTAAAAAGAAAGGAGGCAGAAAACCAGGATTCTAGGCCCACCTTTATCACTTTCTACACCTCTGCCTCATCTCAGACAAGTCCCTTGACTTCAATTTCCTGATCTCTTAAATGAAAGGATTTTCAAATGGGCTCCACAGGATATAACAGAGCCGCTTCAAGGGCCACTCTGGAAGATGAAGGAGGCCTGCTGCCAATGCTGCCCTTCAAACAGAGCAGCTTTGCTTTTATTTGTATTGTAAGTTGGAGCTGTTACAAGATTTAAAAAAAAAAAAAAAAAAAGGATTCTTTACTTTTCACAAGTTTGAAAATCACTGAACTAGTATTTCACAAGGGCCTGTCCGGCTTAGAAACCATTTCGACATCTGTACAGTGGGAATAACTTAAGTTGTTGAGGTGTGAACAAGATATTCCACGTAGAGCAGAGCATATAGAACATAGGAATCACCGCAATGTGTTAGCCATTATTCCCCACCTCCCTGCCAACAGATCCCACAAAGATAAGTGCTTTTGCTATGACTCTTATGCATTGGGTAAGAAATGGTGGCCTGAGAATTGCCTAATCCATCTGCTTTGTACTACCAACATTATAAAAATGTCTTGGACATTTTCTTTGTAAAATTTTAATACATTTTATTTTTGTACATTGCATTTTTTTCTCCCACAACTGAAAGTTTTCTTCTTCTAGATCAGATTTGAAAAATAGTTACATTGCATTTATCAGAGTCAATGTGTTGGTGTTCCAGGCTTGCCAGCTCCTGGGAAAGTGACATCAGTGTCCACTCATTGACCTTGCCTGCTGCAACCTGTTTGGAGCTGCTGTTGATACTATCAAGGAGTAATGCCATCCTGCCACCATCCCTTCGCCAAATGAATTCATTTCAGGTAAGGGATACTCTTTACTAGAGTGTGATTTCTCATTTTAACTTGTAATTGTTTTTTCAAGGATCCTTCACAGGAGATAGCCCAAGAAAATTCATATTTTCAAATAGTAGTAATAATAACATAATGCATGTGTTGCCGTGCCTCATTTTAAGTAATGAACAAATGGAGACTCAGAACTGATTAAGGAGTTGCCTAGCAGTGGCAGAACCCAAGGCTTGTTCTCTGAACCTCCATTTTTATTGCCTCTTATAGAAAAAAACAAGAAGATGTGGCAACAACACTTGCAGATGCCACTTCCCTCCTCTAAGCTTTGCCCTAGAGCAAGGATATTCAACCGTTACTGTTGGCTTTACTGATGTCAGCTGCCTGAAATCAAAATCTTTAACCTGGATAGTATCTTCCCTACTCCCATTTCCCTCTCTCTCCTCTGTCCTTCTTTTAGCACTTCCCACTCCCCTGGATATTTAATTGTGCTCCTGGTACAATGCAATGCTGCATGTAGATTTACCAGTACAATGATCAGCAGGAAGACTCTCTTCTTAATAGCCATCTAATTGTCTGAGAAGGCAAATGAGAATTAAGATGTTAAGCCAGCACAGTGGCACATGCCTGTGATCCAAGCATCTTGGGAGGCTGAAACAGTAGGATCTCAAGTTTGAGGCCAGCCTCAGCAACTTAGCAAGGCCCTCAGCAATTTACTGCAACCCCTTCTGAAAATGGTGATGTGGCTCAGTGGTTAAGCATTCCTGGGTTCAATCTCCAGTACCAAAAAAATAAAATAAAATTAAGATGTTAACTAGAGGCCTAACTTGTGGCCCTGTAGATACTGAGTATAATTGAACACATCTGTGACTCATGACAATGGAAAAGTAATCACAAGCTTCAGATGCTTGTAGGAAGGCCACATGCATTTCTGAGAAAGAATAAATATGGTTCTGCTTCTGGAGAGTTGCTGACATATACTAAGGTAACTTAAAGAGCAGTAAATATTATTTGGTGTATCTCTAGTATGTGGTCAAATGAGACATCTAAGATTTTCCTAGGAATTACATCTCAAGAAATTGATTTAAAAGAATAGCTGCTTCAATTTAATTTATGCCCATAATCTCTTAGAAATCTGTTGCATTGGATGTTTCTATGATTTTCTGCCTGTTTCTTAGATTGGGCCCTGACAAAAAGTTCAGTCTTTGGCCTTAGCATGCCTATTTGTGTTTGGTGTTACTCGATCAGCTTCAATCCTGGACTCTTCATCAAAAGGACCTGAAGGGACACCTTCTTGTTGTGGGGGAGAGGAAAATGAGATCCAAAAGGATGGAGTGAGTTGACCTCAGAATACCTGGTGGATGAGAGACTGCACTGAACTCACCAGGCCTGTGCTAGGGTTGCTCCACCTGCCACACAACTACAGTGCTTACTAAAGTCTTGGGAGCTGGGGGCACGGGGTGTGAGTGGTGGATGGAGGCAGGATATATCTACTGGGTATATCCACATATGTACCCTTATTTTATAGTAATTTATAATTCTTTATTTGTATACTTCCTTGAATTAGAAATGATTTAAAATTATGTGATATCAATCCACATTTCTTCTAAGTTTTACTCCATGGATTAAATAGTGCATAACACAAAAGTTTATGTAAGGCCACAAAGTTTAATGGAGGGAATTACAAGAAACTTAACAGTAGTTATTTTGGGGGAGTGAAGCTGGAAGACTATTATTTTTTATTTCCCTGTCTCTCTTATGTACTGTTAGAAAACTTTATACCAGGGGTAAGCGAGCAGCCAGAGAGATGACTCTGACTTCGAGGAGTTTATGGCATATTGGGGGAGATAAGGTAGTCGTCCGTGTGTGATAGAAATTGAGAGTACTTTTATTACAAAGTAACCTCAACACAAGTGTTAAAGATACTAAAAGCAAAAGAGTAATCTAAACCAAGTTTGAGGGATTTGAGAAGAGGGCTAACCTGTATTTCTTCTCCATGAGACAGAAAATGTCTTGTCCTCTGTAAGTGCCCTCCCAGTCTCATGTAAACACAGGTGCATGAAAGCCCCTGTAATTGGTGGCATCAGTATGCTCTCAGCATCTTTAATCAGAGGAGCTCCTAAGCAGTTTGGATGTTAACTGCTCATTGTCCTCTCTTGGTGATTGTACTGCATCTGAGTTTAGGCTGTTTGCTGAATCTTATTGTCAGGAGCACATACACTGGATTGAGAAATATAGAGAAAATTGGCAGAATCTTATGAGGAATGTCTGCTAAAGTTTCATCTCTGCTCTTACCCCTGGAAAGATGTATTTTTATCAGGGACACTCCAGGAGTGAGCTTCCCTATGCAGGTCTTCACTCTAGACAAAGGATCAGTTAAAATGAGGAAGGTGTCTTTAGGGATTTGGAAGAGATGCTCTGCCTTTCCATCTTTGTGACACCTACTTAATCATTTAGTATAATTGCAAGAAGTAGGGACACTATTTGCCTATATTTGAGATTTATTTTTTTAATTGGAAACTCACTTTCATGTACATTTTTTTTAAAGAGCTATTTTGGCAAGAGCTGTAAAGTAGTAGAATGACACTTGTTACAGATACTATCTTTACATTTCCAATTCTCTTACTTTTCAGGCTGAGGTAGTCACTGTGAGCAATTCTACTTTCTCTGTAAAGCTGTTATTTTAGGATTCGGATGCCACTCCTGCTGGAGTTGTTATTACTGCCAAATCCCAAGGGGAAGGGTTTATCTTATTAATGAGAGCTATTAACATATGAAATTTTGCCTTCTTGAATTACTCTATAACATTTCTCAGGCCAACAGGGATAGCTTTTGGTGGTAGTATTATAATTTTAGCTTCTACTCGGTTACAGCACTGTAGTATCCCTAGTGTGACTATCAGCAAACAGAATGCAGGATTTGGTTCAGAATCCCTGACATATTGCTAAGTGCATATGTACTGTAGTTGTTGCAGCTTCAAGAAGTTGTTGCAGCTTCATTCCTCATGTCATACTTATTCTTCCATGGCTTCCTATTGCAATGAGAATAAAATACAAACTCTTTATCTTGGCCTGTGAGGATGGGCACCATCTGACCCTGCCTCCCTTTCTAGCCTCTTCTCTTACTTTCTCTTCTTGTCCTTTACTCTGATCTAGTCACACTCACTAGCCTTTTTCCCCCTTCCCTATCACAGGCTGGTTCTGGCTGTAGCATCTGTGCACTGGCTGTTGGCTCTGCTTTGAGGAGACTATTCTGTATGAGGTCTTCACATGGCTGGCTTCATATTGTCCTGCAGGTCTCAGCTCAGGTGTCTCCACTCCCAAGAGGCGTAACCTGTCTCCTTCACTGAATCCCTTTCTCCCAGTCACCATTACTTTATAACTTTCACCTTTTTTTTTTTTTTTTTTTTTTTTTGCTTAGTACTTTTATAATTTGAAATGATTGGATTCATTTATTTGTCTTTTTCCATGACTAAAGTGTGTCTATATGAGAACAGGGAGTGTCTATTTTTGTTCAATATTGCACCTACAGAACTCAGAGCAGTGCCTGTATGTAGAGAGCAGTTGAAAAATGCTGGATGACTAGATGACTGGATAGATGCAAATTGGCATGGCCATGGGGCACCCTAGGAATCTAAAAGACTGAGCTGGAGGGAAGCAGAGGCGTGAGTAGCATAAATTCAAGGACAGAAGCTTCAGCCCTATTTCTACTGGAACAAGGCTAGACTCAAGGTAAGGTCTAAATTTGAGATATTTCAATAAGTTTGAGCAAAGGTGGGTATAGGCATTGAAATTGCAGCCTGGGGCTTTGTACAAATGAGAAAGACTTGATGAAAAGTTTAGCCCTTAGAAAGATCTGGCAAGTCAGACCAGCGAAGTGCCTGGCATGTAGCACAGGGCTCCTTGGGCATTGCAGATCACAGCAGCAGAAATGGGTCAAGCTTTGATGCCAGAAACCAAGGCAGAGGGGTATCAGAGGGCTTCCATGGAGTGGGCAGAAGGCTTCTTTGGAGTAGGCAGCTTGCAGGCTGGCATGACCATTACTGTTACTAGTTTATTCCCCTCTGCATGCTTCAGAATTCTAGGGTGAGGAAGTACAAGGTCATTTCCATATCCATGTTGATGGGCAACTCTGGTTCCTAACCTGAAGTCCTTTGAGGACAGCTTTGAATCTGATAGGGCCTCTGACTAGAAGGTAGTACTTGAAGAGAAATCATGTTGGAACCAGGACTGGGCAACAGCTGCTGGTTATCATGGTAACTGCATTTTCCCTAGAATTCTACCCTATTAGGGCTAGAAGGACTTGCTACTCTACTGACAGGGAAACATACAGAGGAAAGTTAAATAGACATTAGAGACTAAAACTGACTTGTCAGTAGTGCTTTTTATGATACAGAGGGTGCTAACTTCTTTTTGGGGGTTGAAATAAGATCTTCTTTCTGTACTAGCACTTCTCTATTCCATGGGACACATGTTCCTTAGGATGCTATTAGTTGTTATAAAAATAGATATTAATCATCAGACTAATGAAATTAGAATAGCTAAAATTTATGGAGTCTTTTCTGTATTCTAGGTACTTTTCTCTATGATTTTCACCTATTAGCTCATTTCATTTTCAAGACATCTTCATAAAGAAGATATATTATTATTCTCATTTCACATGTATAAAACTGAGCCAGAGGAAAAACTTGCCCAAGCTCACACAGAGCTAGTAAGTGGAGGGACACGAGGTACAAAGCCTGGTTCTAGAATTTCCCATTCTTAACCACTGGATAATTCTGCTTCTTTTAATAAGTTTGGTTAAATGAAGTTATAATTTTTAAAATATAAGATTTTTTTTAGGGTGTTTCATGTGCTTAAAGGCAGTGTGACACTATTGCTGGAGGGATATGGGAAATATTATTTCCCAAATGTACTTGGCATCAGAGAGAATTGTTCTAGGGGAATTGTATGGAACTGATGTTTTGTTCAGATGGGGAGACAGTGTTCTGACCCACCTCTATAAAGATTTGGGTGACC